CATAAAGTATAGTTATTCCCCGAGTTTGAAAACATTTGTGCAGAGCTAAGAGCAGAGCCCTATAACCAGATCAATTTTGAGGAGCAAGAAATACATGAGTAGTAACACAAATGAGTCTCCTCCTCTGATTCCCTTACTGGTTGCACCTACATACATGGAAAGGCAGACACACCTGTGGCATCTTGTAAGTATTCAAGATGTTGGGCATCTGCTTGGAGTTATGAGAGGTGAGCCCACCAATGATGGTCATCAGCTTGTATGCCTTGCCACAAATATAGTTAAGAGGGCTTCCCTGTTTCAGGAAAAGGAGATACATAGTTCCGCCACAGTCTCCCATTTCATTCTGATAATTGTGACCAAAGATGGGAGACAGTGTCTTGTTGGGTAGTAGGTGGACATTCTGGTTGATCTCATTCATGGCAAACATAAAGGCCAGCACTTGGTGGTAGTAGTTCGGATGGATGCTGCAATGATATTTCAGTGTAGATTTAGGGTCGTTGCATATTCATTGACTTAATATACATAAAAGTAAAGGTAAAGGGACCCCTGACCATTAGGTCCAATTGCGGATGACTCTGGGTTGCGGCGCTCATCTCGCTTTACTGGCCAAGGAAGCCCGTGTACAGCTTCCGGGTCATGTGGCCAGCATGAGTAAGCCGCTCCTGGTGAACCAGAGCAGCGCACGGAAACACCGTTTACCTTCCTGCCGGAGCGGTACCTATTTATCTACTTGCACTTTGACGGGCTTTCGAACTGCTAGATTGGCAGGAGATGGGACCGAGTAACGGGAGCTCACCCCGTCGCAGGGATTTGAACTGCCGACCTTATGATTGGCGAGCCCTAGGCTTTGTGGTTTAACCCACGTCCCATCAATATACACACCCTGGCCTTATTGACCATCAAAAACTATTATTGAAATACCTGGCATGAAGTAGCACAGTAGGAAATACCCTTATAACTGTTACTTATTTTCTGCTTATTACATATTATTGTCACCTCATTATATTTCTTTGTCATGTTTCATTTCCCACAGCTCCTGGGTCTTCTAAGTGAAGCCACATGCTTTTTGAGGATTGCGGTTCTCTGAAACTGATGCAATCTTTTCTGTGTTGTTGTTTATGCATCTATCATCCAATTTGTAAGTGAATGGATGAAATCACACATATTTTCTGCCACTTTCTGCCACTACCAAAAGCCTTGGTATCCATTTTAAATTCTTTCCTTTATGCCTCTTATTCTTACCGGAATAGTAAGCCAGTTACTGGACTGGACTGCTTCTGATTACAGGTGAAGACTCCCATGATTGAATGACCTCCTTACAATGAAAACTCATTAATCAGCATATCAAGTAGAAGAATTAGGCTTAAGCTATTTTCCTAACAGATAATATATAATTTCTGATCATTTGGGCCTTTTTCCTTCAGGCTGAAATTATTTGAACTGAAACACAATGAAAGCTATTATTTATTTTCAAGTTAGTGTTTGTCTCCATGAGTAACTTCAGTTATTAAAGGTAAAGGTACCCCTGCCCGTACGGGCCAGTTGTGTCCGACTCTGGGGTTGTGCGCCCATCTCACTTAAGAGGACGGGGGCAGCGCTGTCCGAAGACACTTCTGGGTCACGTGGCCAGCGTGACAAGCTGCATCTGGCGAGCCAGCGCAGCACACGGAAACGCCGTTTACCTTCCCGCTAGTAAGCGGTCCCTATTTATCTACTTACACCCGGGAGTGCTTTCGAACTGCTAGGTTGGCAGGCGCTGGGACTGAACGATGGGAGCGCACCCCGCCGTGGGGATTCGAACCGCCGACCTGACGATCGGCAAGTCCTAGGCGCTGAGGTTTTACCCACAGCGCCACCCGCGTCCCAACTTCAGTTATTAGGGAATAAGAAATTTAATGGAAAACCCTCTGATGGAATACCCAGGCTGTTGGCTTTTCATGTAGAGAGGCTCAGCTTCAGATATTCTCAGTTATGAAACTAGTATCAAGACAGAGCTGGGAAATTGAACTGAACATAACTCACTTCAAAATACAATAGGTACCACTGTAAACAAATTGGGTGAAAATTGAACAGATAAGTAAAACATCTACCCCTCATACTTTCTGGAGAAAGGATTGCATGAATGGTTTCCATGCTCCCAAATACATTTAGTATCATTTTTATCAACCGCGACTCCTATTTTCTCCTGGCATTATGATATCAGGACCAGTCATATCAAAAAACAAGACACAAAATGCTGAATAATTTTTCTATATTCACACTGATCTATTCAACCAGAATTTTAATTCAGTCCTATGGACTCATTTCGTATCATAAAAATGTACTTACTACATATCTAAGTCTGGTGATGGATGGCTCCTATATTCAATCTCATTAAAAAGATGAATTACAAAAGAGATAAATTCAGCAATGACAATATTCTCTGAAATGCCAAGGTTCTTTTGAACCTTTCTCTGCTGATAACATATGTTGTCTAAATTCTGGCTCACAGTCTGAGGCAGCTGCAGCAGGAAAAGGAGCAGCAGCAGAGATGTCCATTTGGTTACCTGCAAACACACCCAGCAAGACCCATTCATTGTGGCAGAACCACAGAACAGGAGTACCTCCTAAACAATCATGAAAACAGCATAAGAGTTAAACACATGATGCTATTTCAGAGCGCAATATGGATCTAAACACTTCTGTGTGGCAGACCTCTTCCAAACAGCAGTATGCAAACTATTGTTTTGAAGCTTGTCTCTATAAATGGAGAGGAACCATCACAAGTGGATTCTTTCCGACAGCAGTGGGATCCCAACACAATTATAAGAGGGCAGGGATTATAATTAAACCATAGATAATAAGGTCTTCTTAGATTTTCAACAATCAGCAAAGTTAAGGAAAACTTATTTAGCTCCCTTAAAATCCAATGCCTGCCAATGAAAAGGTCAGGGTTTGAATTTTGGGTGTGATAGACATCACAGGAGGGCAAGAGCCCTGCTACATTTAGAAAAGTAAAGAAAAAACACTCTGGCGTGCTGACTTCAGAATGCTGGAGCTTATAGAAATGGCCCCACTTTGGAAGTGCCAAATTTCAAATGGGTATGATAAAAATGTTATAGGCTGGACCACTTACACTTTGGAACTCCCTGCCAGTTGACATCAGGGAGGCTTGCTAAAAACATTTTTGTTTTGACAAAATGTTTATCTACCCAGATAACCGTCTGAATTGGGGGGGGGGGACCACTTTGTGGTGGTTCCGGTCCTACTTGGATTGTCATTCCCAGAGAGTGATGCTTGAAGAGTGCTATTCACCCAGTGTGATGTTTCAATGTGATGTTTATCAGGATTTAATTTTGCCCCCTACACTGTTTAACATCTACATGAAACTGCTGAGTGGGGTTATCCAGAATTTTGGACTATGTTGTCAGCAATATGCTGATAAACACTCAGATCTACTTCTCCTTTACATCTGTAGCTGTGGCAATTGATGTGCTGAACCATTATCTTACCTTGGAAATGGACTAGATGAAAGCCAAGAAATGGAAGCTCAATCCAGATAAGACAGAGACACAGTTAGTGGGTGGTTCCCAAGACCAGGTGGATGGAAGGTGTCCTGTTTTTGATGGGGTTACATTCCCTTTGAAGGAGCAGGTACACAGCTTGGGTGTACTCCTGGACCCTTTGCTGTTGCTTGAGGCTTGGGTGGCCTCAGTGGCACAGAGTGGATTCCATCAGATTGAGCTGGTGGCCCAGCTGCACCCCTATTTGGACAGGGATAACCTAACATCTGTTGTCAATACTCTGTTGCAGTATTAGATTACTGGAATGTGTTATATGTAGGGCTGCCTCTGAGGATGGTTCAGAAACTTCAGCTGGTGTAGATTTGTGGCAATCAGGTTGCTCACCCGAGCAAGACAGTTTGAGCATGTTACAGCAATCTTAGCCCGACTGCACTGACTATCAATTAGGTTCCTGGCCTAATTCAAAGTGCTGGTTTTGACCTATAAAGCCTTAAATGGCTCAGGATCGCAATACCTCTTTCCATATAAACCTACCCGGACCCTGAGATCTTCTTCTGAGGCCCTTCTTCATGTGCCTTCTCCCTGAGAGGTCTGGAGGGTGGCAACATGAGAACGGGCCTTCTCTGAAGTGGCTCCCCATCTGTGGAATGCTCTCCCCGGGGAAGTTCACCAGGCACCTTCATTAGATGCCAGGCAAAAATGTTCCTTTTTAACCAGGCCTTTGGTTGATTTGAAATACATCCTGTGCCCTTTTAAAATGTTGTTTTTTCTGGGAGGGGGGTTATTGGGTGGTTGTTTTTATTTTGATTATACATTATGTGGTTTTATATTTTGGTTTTGTTCTGTGAACTGCCCTGAGACCTCTGGGTATAGGGAGGTATATTAATTCAACAAATAATAACAAAAAATAATAAACTATTCATAAAATGAATACATCTGTCTATCTATATCGAAAATTCTCTGCACCTGATCATTGTACAGTTGAATACAGATGTATGAACAGATGACATGGGAAGAAATGAATTGGAAGTTCTATGAAACCTCTTTCTAAGTTAAAGGTAAAAGGATCACAGTGTTGGAAGGAACCCTGAGGATCATTTAGCCAACCCCTTGTAATGCAGAAAAGGCTTATACCAGGCATGTAGCCACTGGCTTTGGCTTATATGTATTGGATTCCAACAACATCTGGAGAAGAAGAACATTGGCTACTCTAGGTTAGATTATTACAAAATAGAAGAAAAGGAAAATACAGGAAATAGGAAATGGCTTACAAGAAGTAACATAAGGATAAGGATCAGTATCCTTCACTGATTGCACAATGATCTGGGTAGTCTGGGAGTGCTTGTCAAACTCTGGGTTGGGGCAGAGGTTGCACACCACACAGATGCCAATTTGAATAGAGAGGAAGATGACTGAGACTTCTAGTCTCTTCCCTACCCATTTCCTCATTCTGTTTCCTGGTTTGGTGGCCATGAAGGCCAGAACCACAGTTCAGAGCACTGAGGGATAGCTCGGTTGGTAGAGCATGAGACTCTTAATCTCAGGGTCAAGGGTTCAAGTCCCAAGTTGGGTGAAAAATTCCTGCATTGCAAGGGATTGGACTAGATGATTCATGTGATCCCTTCCAACTCTACAAATCTGTGATTTCCCAGTTAAAACTGGACAGTTGCACAGTATGAACTTGTGATTCCATATCATAGCATTTCCTCTGACGATAAATTTATTCCCTTCATGTTTCTGCAAATCCACCTTTCCCACATGGATTTGTTGATAGACTGCTTGGGGAATGTGACTGGGCTGAAGGTATCATATCCAGTTGCCAACTCTCCATAGTTATAAAAGAACATTTCTTCACCCAGCAGTCTTGTTAAAGTGGATGCCTTTCAGAAATGAGTGAAGCTAGATTGGAGAAGGAAAGATCATGAACTGAGGCCAGAATTATTGCAAAATAACAGCAGCAACAACAATTTTCATTCAATAGCTGGGTTTCAGTTTTTAACAGCCCATTTTTCCCACTTCAAATTTCACATTAAGATGAAAGTCAGTATTATTCGAGAAAGATGTTGCAGTGTCTAAACAGTTGTCATTAGATCCCTGATGGATCACACCAATTGCACAAGTAGTCATTATCCTATTTTCACACTGGTCACACATATATCTACAGGAAACTCACAAGCAAAGTAGTAAGACTTAGCCTACATCAGAACTGTACATACTTGTGAGAGAAGAGTTGGAGTTTAACTGTCAATCACTACTACCCATGATGGTCCTGTTCCACCTCCAGTGTTGGTGGCAATATGCTTCTGAATATTAATCAACAGGAATCAAAATTAGCAGAGTGTTTTTGTGTTCAGATTACCTGGTACACCCACTTGTATTTATCAATGAAGAGGTGGATATGATTTGTGTTTCTGTCTCCCTGAAGGCCTTGGGATCCCACTATAATTGCAGAAGGACAGGAAGTCTAATTGCATGATGGATAATTACCCAAACTGGAACAACTACAAAATACAATCAATCAGATGGCAAAATTCTATTTCCTTATTAGTTGATCCCTGACATTCAATTCTGGTCTAAGTACAATAATATAGAGCTTTGGGAGGAATATGCAACCCAGCAATCCCACACTAGAGGCTAAAATGGAGAAGATCTCCACAGCCACCATATATTTTCCTTTGGTGCTCAAGTAGGTGGGGACAAAAGACACCCAAACACTGCAGAAAACCAACATGCTGAAGGTGATGAGCTTGGCTTCATTGAAAGTATCAGGCAGCTTCCGGGCAAAGAAAGCCACAGTGAAGCTGATGATGGCCAGAAGACCCATGTAGCCCAGGACAGTATAAAACATGGGGGCTGATCCTTCATTGCACTGCACAATGATTTGGGTAGTCTGTGAATGCATGTCAAACTCTGGGAAGGGAGGAGAGGTTGCCAACCACAGTGCACAGATGCCAGTTTGAATAAGAGTGCAAAGGATGATGACTGACACTTCCAGCCTCTTCCCCATCCATTTCCTTATCCTGTTTCCTGGCTTGGTGGCCATGAAGGCCAGAACCACAGTGAGGGTTTTTGCCAGCACACAAGAAACTGCCAGGGAAAAGACAATCCCAAACACTGTTTGACGGAGAAGGCAGGTTATCTTCCCAGGCTTTCCAATGAATAGGAAGGAGCAGAGAAAGCAAAGCAATAGGAAAGTGAGTAGGGTGCAGGTGATGTTCCAGTTGTTTGCCTTGACAATGGGAGTCTCCTGGTTTTGAATGAAGATCCACATCACCACTAGTGTGATCAGAGAAAGGAAAAGAACAAATGAAGTCAGAATTATTCCCAAGGGTTCTCTGTATGATAGGTAGATTATATGCTTAGGCATGCACTGATCCTGGTTCTTGTTAGGATGCTGATCATCAGAGCACTTGTCACAATGATCTGCATCTGAAAAAAAAGAGTTTCAATAGTTTAAAATGTTTATGCACCCTCTTAACTTATATAGCATTTATCACTTAATATATTTGCATGAAATATGTCTGTGAACATATTTCTATTGGAGAGATTTTGAATTTTTTTTTTATGGCAACTATAAAGCAGAACTTTGCTGTAAACAGATGGCTGATGATGTCACTGGGTGTTTCATCCCCCTTGAATACTGATTTAACATGTTGTACCATTAATCAAAATTTGGATGCTTAAAAGGGGATAGAACATTGTATAGATCCATTTAAAATGTAGGTTTATTGCATCAAAAGACACACAATTGAAATCCAAAAGGGAAAAAAGCAATACTGTAGCAATATAAAGAAGATCCACATAAATATATCAAAACTAACTTCCAACAGTTCCCAAAATTTTAAACAATGTATTTAATTATTATTATTTTTTAAAAAGTTCCAGGTAGCCTAAGTAATTTAATATCCTTGGGTGAAAAGTTGAACATAGCAGTAGACAAGCCTCCCTTGGGAGGTTGTTGCCTTGCCAGCCTGCCACTATTTGAAAAATCTCCCTCTTTGATGATTGCCCACCTTTACAGTGGTACCTCGGGTTACAGATGCTTCAGGTTACAGACTCCACTAACCCAGAAATAATACCTCGGGTTAAGAACCTTGCTTCAGGATGAGAACAGAAATCACACGCTGGCGGCGTGGCGGCAGCAGGAGGCCCCATTAACTAAAGTGGCACCTCAGGTTAAGAACAGTTTCACGTTAAGAATGGACCTCCAGAACGAATTATGTTCTTAACCCGAGGTACCAAAGTACTAATTTGGCAGAGCAGGGCCTTTGAAGAAGATCTGTAGGTTCAGGTAGATACATATGAATGGATGTGATCTTTCAAGTAGCCTGTCCCCAAACCCATTCAGTCTCTACTTACCTGTCAGGTTTGAAATCATTCCCTCAGAACACTGGGGACAATCATAGCAACAAATCTGTTCCCCCTGTTTCACGATCCTTTTGTGCCCAGGATGGCAGCTCTCAACACATGTGGATTTAGGTAGGATCTATTAATACCCAGAAATAAAGAATTTAGGATGTAGATCAGTGATGTGACACATTTAACCCCCAATCCTAGCTAGGCCTTGCAGGGGTCCTGATTTGGACTGCTCTCCTGGCTGTGTATGTGTGTGGGGTGTGTGCGGATTTCATGGTTTGCCTCAGATACCAAAATGTATTGGGCTGGCCATGGATTTACCTCACTCCTATGTGGAGCCAGGACTACACAGAACTTGGCTTGGGGGCCATCCATAAAGCAGGAAGATATTGGAAGATACTAGTAATTCTCACCTGCTTAAACCTCTGATTCCACACAACAGCACTTTCATTGACAGTGAATTGTTTCCCTTCAGAAGCCTGTCGGTTAATCCTTCCAACACGGATTCTGTGGATGGACTGATTGGGAAATATGACTGTGTTGATGATATCATACCCGGTTACTAATTTTCCATTTTCATAGAAAAATATTTCTTCCCCAGCAGTATTATTGAAGCGGATCTGTTTCAGAAAGTAGTTAAGCTAGATTGGATGAGAAAATAACATACACTCAGGCCAGTGTTGGGAAAGGGTTATTATGGTTCCCCTGGAATTCTCTGTTTTGTCCTTTTGCCACACTAAGATCATACTCAACATGTTCTTACTCACGTATGATGGATGCAGGTTATATATAATAAAATGCTTCCCACCTTGCATATTTGACAGGAAGACGTAATTTGACAGAGTTATGATTTTTCATGTGCTGAACTAGAAAATACTGGCAAAATAGGGTAAGCCATGGCTGAAAGTAAATATGAAGCCAATGATTCTTACAAGAGCGCAACGTTTACAAAGCAGAACCACCTGCTAGATGGTATCTGGAATGTTAATTCATTTAGTTGTGAATATCACTGTGTGGTACAATTGATAGAGGACTCATCAATCATATTCATCTCATTTTTTTGCAGCGGGAGACCCCTGTACACTACAACCCCTTACACACCCCACTCTTTAGTAAATGCCACATGCACACACATTGCCCAACACTGAACACACCCCAGAGCCAGCCCACCCATGAGACAGGGTGAGGCGCCTGCCTTAAGCAGCAGAAGCGGTGCCTTGTCCACCCCACATTTTCCTGCCCAAGAGATGCAAAAACACAGTGCGTCAAATTTGCTTGTGCGTTTTTTCAAATTTTGTGTAAACCTGAGGGATTAAAAAGGAAACTACATATTGTTGCACCCACACCCAATCTCTGAGCGGTGTGAGATTCCAGGGGTTCCAAGCGCTTACCAAGGATTCATCTTTCCTTTGGGAATGAGGCACAGTAGAGACTGTGGTGTCTTTATGATATGTGGTTTATTTACACATATATACAACCTGAGGCTACGATGGAGAGGTTCACAGCATTAACAAAAGGGTCTTGTTTCTCCCATAGCTGCGCTGGTTTGCTTTCGAACTGCTAGGTTGGCAGGAGCTGGGACAAAGCAACTGGAGCTCAGCCTGTCACACAAATTCGAACTTCTGACCTGCCGATCGGCAAGCCCAAGAGGCTCCATGGTTTAGACCACAGTGCCACCCGCATTCCAATGCAACATGAATCAGGAATATGACAAACCTTTCCAATCCACTCCCAATTGTCCCAGTCAATTAGGGTGAACACACCCCTGTGAACACACCCCTCCAGTGCTTGAGGCAGGAATACCAGATGAAGTGGGAGAGAGTGCTAATGAAATCATTCTGCTTGTGGGCTTCCCATAGGCAACTGGTTGGCCACTGGGAGAACTGGATGCTAGACTAGATGAGACACAAGAGACATGAGAATCCTACCTGCCATGGGTACACATTCAAAAGGTTTGATGCACTTCCATCTCCCATTGCCTTCTGCTTAGATCTTGATGAAAACATGGCATGGAGAGCATGTGCTACAGCATAAACAGCATTGTAGATACTGTAGCTCTGACCAGACATTCCCATTTCAAACACAGCTCCAGGGAGGCTCCACAGCTTCTCTTCCCCAGTACAGTTTCTTGCATTTATTCGATAAATGTTGTAAGAGGGGAATGAGCAGTTGAATGCAGTGGACCAGAACCAATGGATGAAATAAAGCATCATTTGAT